CTTCTTCTTGGATTGATCCCTTGATCATTATGTAGTGTCCTTCTTTGTCTCTTGTGTTAGTCCTTATTTTAAAGTCAATTTGTCTGATATGAGAATTGCTACTCCAGTGTTTTCTAATTTCCATTTGCATGGAATATCTTTTTCCATCCCCTCACTTTCAGTCTGTATGTATCCCTTGGTCTGAAGTGGATCTCTTATAGACAGCATATATACAGGTCTTGTTGTTGTATCCATTCAGCCAGTCTATGTCTTTTGGTTGGAGCATTTAATTCATTTACAGTTAAGGTAATTATCACTATGTATGTTCCTTTTACCATTTTCTTAATTGTTTGGGGTTTGTTATTGTAGGTCTTTTCCTTCTCTTGTGTTTCCTGCCTAGAGAAGTTCCTTTAGCACTTATTGTAAATTTGGTTTGGTGGTGCTGAATTCTCTTAGCTTTTGCATGTCTGTAAAAGTTTTAATTTCTCTTTGGAAAATGAATGAGATCCTTGCTAGGTAAAGTAATTTTGGTTGTAGGTTTTTCCTTTCATCAGTCTAAATATGTCCTGCCACACCATTCTGGCTTGCAGAGTTTCTGTGAAAGATCAGTGTTAACCTTATGGGGATTCCCTTGTATGTTATTTGTTGCCCTTCCCTTGCAGCTTTAATATTTTTTCTTTGTATTTAATTGTTGATAATTTGATTAATATGTGCCTTGGAGTGTTTCTCCTTGGATTTATCATGTATGGGGTTCTCTGAGCTTCCTGGACTTGATTGACTATTTCCTTTCCCATATTAGGGAAGTTTTCAACTATAATCTCTTCAAATATTTTCTCAGTCCCTTTCTTTTTCTCTTCTTTTTCTGGGACCCCTATAATTCAAATGTTGGTACATTTAATGTTGTTTCAGAGGTCTCTGAGGCTGTCCTCAATTCTTTTCATTCTTTTTTCTTTATTCTGCTCTGCAGTCGTTTTTTCCACTATTTTGTCTTCCAGGTCACTTATCCATCCTTCTGCTTCAGTTACTCTACTATTGTTTTCTTGTAGAGAATTTTTTATTTCATTAATTGTGTTGTTCATCATTGTTTGTTTGCCCTTTAGTTCTTCTAGGTCCTTGTTAAACGTTTCTTGCATTTTCTCCATTCTATTTCCAAGATTTTGGCTCATCTTTACTATTATTACTCTGAGTTCTTTTTCAGGTAGCCTGCCTGTTTCCTCTTCACTTGTTTGGTCTGGTGGGTTTTTACCTTGCTCCTTCATCTGCTGTGTATTTCTCTGTCTTCTCATTTTGCTTCACTCACTGTGTTTGGGGTCTCCTTTTTGCAGTCTGCAGGTTTGTAGTTCCCACTGTTTTTGTTGTCTGCCCCCAGTGGCTAAGATTGGTTCAGTGGTTTTTGTAGGCTTCTGGGTGGAGGGGACTGGTGCCTGTGTTCTCATGGATGAGGCTGCATCTTGCCTTTCTGGTGTGCAAGACCACGTCCAGTGGTGTGTTTTGGGGTGTCTATGACCTTATTATGATTTTAGGCAGTGTCTCTGCTAATGGGTGGGGTTGTGTTCCTATCTTGCTAGTTGTTTGGCATCTTCATGTATTCTTTAGGTACACATCTGTTCATAACCCTTATATCTTCCTGATGGATTGATACTTTTATCATTTTAAAAGTCCCCATATATCTCCAGCAATACTTTTTCATTTTAAATCCTTTTTATCTGATATTAGTATAGCCACACTCCAACTTATGGTTGCTATTTGAGTTATACATATATATATATATATATATATATATATATATATATATATATACACACACACACACACACATATATATATACATATATATATACACACACATATATGTATATACAATTTCAGAGATTTTTTACATGGTTATATTTTTAATAATTCTCACCAGTTATGCTTATTTCATTGGGGAGGGGATCCACAGAGCTTCTAATGTTGCCATTACTGAAGTGGAACCCAGTTTGTAAAATGTGAGGTTTCTTTGACCATGTTTTCTTTTGTCAAGGATTTTGTCTTTATTTTTCCCTTATGAACTTTTCAAATACATTTTAACTTATGAGATAGTTTTAAAAGGCTTTGCGTGATGGGTTTGCACATGGTCTGCACTAAAGTCAGGTTGCCCAATCTCAAGAACCATATTTGTACTCAGAAAAGAGATTCAAATTCTGGGGACTGAAGCCTCAGACCAGTTGGTTCTGTTAAAATAATACAATTGAAACTAGACTGAATTCTGGACTTATCAGTGTCTTTCCTGGGGCACATATGAGGGAAGGACTTTGACCAAAATCACACCGCCTATGAAAACCAGAAATAGAAACCAGCCTTATATTCCATACTTCCTTATTGCCACCAGCGTCAGTATAGGCCTTTCACTGTGTCACCCTTTAAAAACTCATTTTTAATTTCTGAAGTAGCATGGTATTCCCTATAGGAGTATGCCATTTGAATGAGTCCCAAAGGCATGGAAAGCTTGTCCCTGTACCAGTAAGCATATAGACGCAGCCTTGTAAGCAAGATGCAGGAAATAGCCTTATGTATTGTCTGTCTTCAGCTGCCCTTGTACTTGTTTTTTCTTCCTTTAAGCTTGTCAGTTCTTCTTGGCCCTTCACCATTCTAGCTTCTGACTTTAGGACAAACTGAATAAGAGAATGAATTGTCTGCCCCCCCGGTTTCCCAAGCAAATATTTGAAGCTGCCATAGATTTTCTAGATTTTATGTTGAAAAGTAACAAACAAAAACAGCACTACCATCTGTCATCAGAGTGATGAGAAAGTGGTTGTAACACCTCTCTGAAGCAGGGCAGTTTTGCTCACTGGTGGAGGTGCATTCAGTGACAGGTTGTTGGGTGCTGTAGGCCGATACATCCAGAAGGAGCCTGAGTCAACTCACTTCTGTCTTGGGTCTCAAAGAGGAAGCAGAAGGAGGGAAGGAGGGTCCTGGATGATTCTTCTTTCTTCTGGGTCTACCTCTTCTCACTCCTCCCTGATTTATCTCCCTCTGTTTCCTATGAAGCCTCCAGTATTATCTCAGCTTTCCCTCCTTCCCACTCCCCAGGGAAACTCAACTCCACTGCATCCCTAGAGACACAGAATCTCATCCCTTGTTCCCTTCTGGAATCTCACCAATGCTATCACCTTGGGCTCTGGCCAGCTGCTAATGGAGGCTGTCCTCTGCCCGGGGTTGTTGGTTCTGAAGAGAGAAAGAATGAGCTACGGAGTGGGGGAGGGGGTTAGCTGGGATCAGTTCAGACTCTTCAACAATGGGAAAATTGCAGGTTACCTCACTCATTGCCTAGAAAGCAAAATTGAGTCTTAATATTCTTCTCAAGACAATGTAATTCAATCCTATATTAAGAAAGTATAGTCTCCCAGTCAGCATGACTTTGACTCTGCTCCAGATGGACACAGTAAACTTGACATGGTCTGTAAGGGATGTCTTGTTTCTGAGACTGTGCTCACCTACCACATTCGTTAGGAATGATAAAACCAGTGACAAATTAATTGTTTCCCATTCTATTTCATGGATGAAGGGCAGGGAGTCACCATCCATTTTCTCCCAGGTAAGTATTACTAATTTTACCATTTTATGTAAGGAAATTGTGATTCATGGATAAAAGTTAACACCTGACTAGTAAATTGCAAAACTAGGTTTTGAACTCTCACTTTCTGTCAAAAAGCCTGGTACTCTTTGCACTTCATCTAAGCTGTTTGTGAGAAGAGCCAACATAAAATGTTGAAATGAGCTCATTAAGGTGTGGATGTAACCTTGTGATTCTTCAATACACTGGTGTGCCTTTTTGCCAGTTCCTTCAGCAAGGCATGTTCTTCACTGAGGAACCTTTATTGCTCATGTTTTTTGCTCTGTTCTGGGAGACATCTGACCTCCCTCTTCCCTTGCCTGTTTCCTTCTCACCTCTTGGAGAGGTCTTCCCGCCTCAATCCTATTCTTTCCTAACTCAGTTACCATTTTGTTTCCATAACAAATCTTCAATTTGCAATTATCTTTGTCTATTTACTTAAAAAATGTTTCCTTGTTTGTTTGTAGTTGTTATTAGCTTAAAATTTTAGGGATGGCGAGGAACTCATATGTCTCATTAACTTTGAAACCACACTACCCAGTGTCTGGCATGGAGTAAATGCCCAAACACATATTTGTTGAATAAATGAGGACATTTAAGGTTCAATTGTCAGAGAAAGGATGGGGGAAAGGCAGTTGCCATTCTTTGTGTGTCAGCCACTATGTGAATGAGCAACCATGAACATCTCTGTCCCTTTGTTTTGATGGAGATACTGAGAATCCTAAACAGGTTACACAGCTCATAACTGGTGTAGACAGGTGTCAAACCAGGCCTGTCTGTTGTTTTTTCTGTCCTTTCTCACCAACCCAGTGGAAGTTCACATTAGTAGATCAGGCAGACAAACTGGTTTTATAATGTCAGATGCAATAATTCTTTTTTTTTTTTAGCATCTTTATTGGGGTATAATTGCTTTACAATGGTGTGTTAGTTTCTGCTTTATAACAGAGTGAATCAGTTATACATATACATATGTTCCCATATCTCTTCCCTTTTGCGTCTCCCTCCCTCCCACCCTCCCTATCCCACCCCTCTAGGCGGTCACAAAGCACCGAGCTGATATCCCTGTGCCATGCGGCTGCTTCCCACTAGCTATCTACCTTACGTTTGGTAGTGTGTATATGTCCATAACTCTCTCTCGCCCTGTCACAGCTCACCCTCCCCCCTCCCCATATCCTCAAGTCCGTTCTCCAGTAGGTCTGTGTTTTTATTCCTGTCTTACCCCTAGGTTCTTCATGACATTTTTTTTTCTTAATTCCATATATATGTGTTAGCATACAGTATTTGTCTTTTTTTTTTCTGACTTACTTCACTCTGTATGACAGATTCTAGGTCTATCCACCTCATTACAAATAGCTCAATTTCATTTCTTTTTATGACGGAGTAATATTCCATTGTATATATGTGCCACATCTTCTTTATCCATTCATTTGATGATGGGCACTTAGGTTGTTTCCATCTCCGGGCTATTGTAAATAGAGCTGCAATGAACATTTTGGTACATGACTCTTAAAATATATTTAGAGCCTGGAGTTTTTTGAGAGATGGTCATATTGAAAATGTCCTGAGATGATTACTGATTTGGTCCTAGGCATTGATTTGTTGCCTGCCACAAAGAAAGCCCAGGAAAACTGTCAGTGACTGAGTTGACGGTAATCATAGCAAAATTTCCTTGGACCAAATTTATAATAGTGTATACCCCATGCAAAGAGCACCATGTGTTTCCTCTTAATCTTTATGAAAAGTTGGATATTGTGGATGTCCCTTTTCTCTCAGGTGAGGAAACTGAGACTCAGAGAACTTGCAACTAATGGTACAGGCTTAATCGATCTGTAGGTGGCAGCAGCGTGCTCTGAGGTCGGGCCCCACCTTAACCCCTGCCCTATGTGACCTGGTGTGTCCCCCTAGGCTGTGGTGTCACTGGTGCAAACTCTAGGAGCAGTAACTGTAGTGGGAGTAATCATTTTTTGGAGTCCCTACAACATGATGGATGTATACTAAGTGTCTGTCCAAGAGATCTCCTTTAACTCTCAGAATTACTCTTAAGGAGTGAGTGGCAATGCTTTTCCCATTTGACAAAAGGGGAACTCAAGACTCAGAGGCTTACCACCTTACACAGAGCATGGACTATCTCTCAGGTCATGCACATTTCTCCTGCATGGTGCCTGCAGTTAGGGACAGCAATTTCATTATTTTTAGCCTGTTCTCACGTTTCCAAGGTGGAGGAACAAGCCAGTCAACGAAAGCTCCCAGAAGCAAACATAGATGGAGAGCAGACGAAGCAGGGGTGGAGGTTCTCGACTGAACCCTTTGCTTAGCTCTCAGCTTGGACACCTGTTGGAGTTCCTGCTCTGGCCATCCTGCCCTGATCCTGCACATCTCTGCATGTTTATTCCAAAACAGAGTGGACTCTTCTAAGAACTCACCTCAAAGCTTTGTCTGCTAATGATCGAGGGAAATGGGAGAAGCCCATTTCCCACAGTGGTTCTGGTTCACACCCTAGGATAACTCTCCAGGATCCAAGTGAGTCCCAGATTGCCCCACAGAGTGGTCATAAGGACAGCCAGCCTTGTCTTCTTCTAAGGGGATAATGGAGCCAGGGTGACTGAGGTGTGCCCACTGTCCTTAGTTTAAGAGCAAAAGTTGGGATGTGTGTTGAGACCTTGTCTCTCTTGGGTCCCTGGACTTCTTGGCTAGTCAGGAGGGTTTGCTTTAGCGGGGTGTCTGCTTATAATACCTTGTGACTGACCCCAGCCCTTGGACCCTGATAGCCCCGCAGTGATGACAGAGAGGTGACCCTGGAACAGGGAGGAGGAGAGCTGGGTAGATGTTCTCAACTCTGTGGGCAGAGGCTGGTCCCACATAAGCTGTGTTGGCCTTGGTATCTGAAGACCTGGAAGAGAGGCCTCTCTGTGGCTCAGTCTCCTCATCTGTCAAAGGGATAATGATACTCATCTTGCCCAGGGCCTTGGGAGGGGCAGACCCAGGCCTGCTGTTAGGGGTCATGCACAGTCCAGCTCAGGGATTGCCACTGCATCACACAAGATCAAATGCCCCCATGGCATTACTGTTAGATGACACTGGAAAAAACACAATGGAACAGGGTAAGGATTCCAGGATGAAATAATCAGCAGGTGTTTCTTCAGTCTGTTGTTCTCTTTCTACAGATGGGAAGCTCAGGACCAGCAAGCCAGGTTAGTAAGTAACTTACAGGACATGAGGAGCAAAGTCTGTATTCAGACCCAAACATTCCGAAAAGAATTAACATTGATCAGATTGATTTTCCAGTCTGTCCTTGGCTAGACACTGGAGCACAACACCCCCCCACCCCACCCCCCTCCACACACACCCAGGGCTGTTATCTCAAAGGCAGCGTATGTGGGCTCTTCAACTCCTCTATCCTCAGACCCTCCCCCACCCACATCCCATTGGCTGCTCCTGCTCTCACTTCCCCCACTGGGCCCTGCCAGCTGGCTATGGTGAAGATTGAATAGGATTCTGTTAGGGAGAGAGCTACCTTTGTTTTGGAAATTGCTGTTGTAGTCAGACTGATGACAGAAGAGGAAGAAAGGAGAAAACAAGAGATGGCCAGAGGCTCTGCTTATAGAAATGACCCCAATTTTGCCTTCTCCATGAGACCAATGCAGACCTCTCTATTTAAAATTGAATCATGTGCCCCCTTTTCCCCCAGTATGGTTGATCCCTCACCTTTGCTCTTCTCTGTCTCTTTGCCAGGGCAGTCACCACATTCTAATCTACCCTGTAATTTGCTTATTTATCGCTTTGTTTATGTCATGTCTCCCCCTCTAGACTACACTCCAGGAAGGCAAAGTCTCTGTCTCTTTGCTCAAATACCTCCCAAATGCCTGGAGTGGGCCTGATGCATGGTGGGTCCTCCAAAAATATTGAATAAATGCATGAGTTTGGGGAAAGAGGGAGAGCTGAGCTACAGACCAGCACAGAGTGAACAGCAATGAACAAGGAGTATTTTCAAGAGCAGGGATCTCTAAGGTTCAACTGTAGGCCGGAGATGTTGGTGTGATGCGTACCCCCAACCCCTGAATCCTCAGTCCCCCACCCAACCCGTGTGTGTGTGTGTGTGTGAGAGAGAGTGTGTATGAGTGTGTGCATGTGCCTGTGTGTGTGTGAGTGAGTGTGAATATCTGAAGTGGCAGGAAGAGCAGGAGAGAAGGGAACTCAAATCCACATTCAAAGCCAGGAGCACACACAGCACAATGTGAGGGCGGGGCTGGGAGAATCCTGGGCTGACCTGAGCTCTCACCAACAGTGGCTGCCCAGACAGCACTACCAGACAAACTGCCTGGGGTGTTGGAAGCTGCAGCAGCTGTAGCTGTAGGCCCCTCACTGAGGTGCACAGGGCATCCTGCAGGCAGGGACTTTGTGGTCCCTCTACCCTGTAAGTTTACCCAGTGAGTTTATCCTCGTCTTGTCTGTAGGACCCTGAGACTTAGTGAAGTTCAAACACTTTCCCAAGGGTACCTGAGACCCTTTCCCGAGCCACACAAACCCCATGTAACCTGATTCTGAGTTCTGACCCTGTCCCAGCTGTGTAACCTTGGGCAAATCTGTTATGTTTCTCTTACGTGCCTTGGTTTCCTCAGCTGTAAACGGGCTAACCAAGGTGAGAGCTTTACCAGGTTGGGATGAGGGGATGCTTGTGACGCATTAACCGGTCACAGAATCCATCTGGGGGGTGACAGCCAGCAGGAGACAGTGCCAGGGACGCACCTTGCTCTCTCGCACATTTTGCCAAAGGCAGGTCTTGACCAAAGTTTCTCCCAATTCCTGGAGGCTTCAGAGAGTTGACCAACATCATCGCTGCCTAGGATTAAGCCACCTATGTCCCTAGGGCTGGGCAGGGCCCAGTCTGGCCCAGAAGCCCCTCCCTGTAGGCAGCCGTGCTTTCTGACTGTGCAGCCACCTGCTATATAAGGGCCCTCACACACCTTCTCCAACCTTCTGCCAGGATCCACCTTCGTCGGGGCAATCTCTGGGCCAGACAGAGAAGGTAAGGGACTGGGTCTGGGCTGTGAGACAGGACCCAGCCTGGGAGAAGCTGAAAGCAGGGGAAGGGCATTCAGCGCTGGCTGGGGTCCAGGGCATTCTCCTGGCATTCTCTTGCTCCTCCAGCAGTGCCCGGGAAGGGGAAGGCTGGAGTGGAGAGGTGCTGGGGTTTGCTCTGTGTGTGTGTGTGTGTGTGTGTGGTGCTGCGTCCTTCTCACAGCTTCTGTGAGCTCTTGCTCCTCTGTGTAAGATGAGAACAATTGAGGTAAGACCCTCTCAGACAGCTGAAGATGTCCAACAATAGGATGAATAGGAAGGACTTTGCAAAGCGGTGTACAGATGTACTTGGTCTCATTTTCCCTGTGGGGCCCCTGCCCTGACCCCCAGCTCACTGGCTCCTCTCTTCTGCAGAGGTGGTGCACAGGGCCCTGAGTCCCACCGCCTCCAAGATCTGCCTCTTCTGCTACATGTCCCTAGGTAGGGTCCTGACCTCTCTGGGCTTCCATTATTTCCCTCTGAAAATGAGGCGAATCATCAGGTCTATACCGCAGGGCCGAGGTGATTTGTGCACTTAACTGATGTGGCTGCTGTGGACTCGTTCCCCTCCTTTCTTGCCCTCCCATCTCCTCTTCCTTTACACCTACAAGGCTTGAGAGGCCCTTCCCAGGAGGCCCAACCCCTGAACCTCTCTCTCTATTGGGGTTCTGGGCCTGGAGTGGTGACTGGGCATTGGGGGATGCAGGGTACAATGCACAGAACATCTGCCACAAGCTTCAAACCAAACATACTTAATTTTTCTCCTAGGATCTCTAACTATTGGGGCCATTAGATAATTGATGGGCTGTCTGTCTCCCTCCATTGGGGCTAATTTCTCTTTCTTTTCACCGACTCCTAATCAGTTAACTAGGGGATCATAGTGTTTGTGTGTTTGTGTGTGTGTGTGTGTGTGTGTGTGTGTGTGGTGTGTATGTGGGGGAGCATGTGTGTGTGGTGTGGTGAGGTGAGATGCAGGCAGTGGCCTGCAACGCCCTAATGAAAGTCAGTTGCTCCTTAGTAAGTGGCAGCTATTATGGTACAACTCGGCTTTGGACCTGGAAGGACCCTGAATGGAGTCCCACTTTTCGTCTTACAAGCTGGGTGAGCTTGGGCAGCTTCCATTATCCCTCCGTCTGCAGTTTTCTCAGCTGTGGAGTGGGCAAAAATCTTTACAGCAGCACTGTGGCCTGGGACTTGGTCCATACTTGCACTGACCAATACAGCAGCCACCAGCCACATGTGGCCACTGAGCACTGGAACATGGCTGGTGACTGAGAAACAGTATCTTTCCTTTTTATTCCTTCAGTGAATCCAAAGGTAAGTAGCCACAGGTAGCTCCTGGTTACTATTCATAGTATAAATGAGCTAACGATGAATAAGGGCTCAGTGCAGACCCAGACATTTCCCTTCCATGCTTTTTGATACACAGGCAAATTAAAATTCTAGGAGCTCTGATTCAGGATCTTTTTTTTTTAATTGAAGTATAGCTGATTTACAATGTTGTGCCCATCTCTGCTGCATAGCAAAGTGACTCAGTTATACACATAGAGACATTCTTTTTTAAAAAATATTCTTTTCCCTTTGTCCCAGCTGGCATGGACTTATACATACTACCAAATGTAAAATAGCTAGCTAGTAGGAAGCAGCCGCATAGCACAGGGAGATCAGCTCCGTGCTGTGTGACCTCCTAGAGGGGTGGGATAGGGAGGGTGGGAGGGAGACACAAGAGGGAGGAGATATGGGGACGTATGTATATGTATAGCTGATTCACTTTGTTATGAAGCAGAAACTAACACACCATTGTAAAGCAATTATACTCCAATAAAGATGTTAAAAAATATTCTTTTCCATTATGGTTTATCACAGGATATTGAATATGGTTCCCTGTGCTATACAGTAGGACCTTGTTGTCTATCCATCCTATATATAAGAGTGTACATCTGCTAACCCCCAACTCCCAGGATCTTAATAAATACAGCTAAACCTTAGCTATTAGATGACTTTCATGTGCAGAGAGATTGATGACAGACCAGTCAGAAGTGTGCTGGGGCTTCTGATTGAGCTCTGTAGGTTGAGCATGTCCAGGTCCGGGGCTTTGGGGGTCGTGTGTGTTAGAGTCAGTGTGGTTAGAGGCCTGGGCCAAATCTAGCTCTAACCCCTCCCAGGAGTGCAACCTTGACTTTGAGTGCTTTACTTAACCTCTCTGGGCCTTGATTTCCCCTTTGAAATAAGGTGATGCTAAAAATAGTACCTGCCTGCTGGGTGGAGGAATTACATGAATCAATGCACATAAGTGCTTGGAACAAGAGTAAGTGCTCAATATGTGCCTGCTTGTTGGAGTGGCGATGGCAGAGACAGAGCTCCTATGCATTATGTGAATGTGGCAAGATACCACCTACAGGATGGACATTATGCTCTGGGACATGAGAGCCCAGCGTTCTTCTTGGTCTCCCATCCTCAGTGGGGTTGGCAGTCATCTTTCTGCCCATTTTGTACCCATAGTGGCTCTGTAGGAAATGCCCTGGGCTGTGTTTTGTACTTGTGTGTGGACGCCTTTGCAGGCATCTAGGATTGGGAAAACCCGACTTTTGTGGATATAAGGGCAGGGTGGAATCTACATCTTGGCTCGGTGCTCCCAGCTGAGGATGCTGATTCCTTCTGTCACAAGGATGGGCTGGGTCTGTTGAAGTTTGATTGCAATCCTAGGGAATATCACTCCCCAGCAGCCTTCTGATTCCCCAGACTGCCCTCTTTGTGTCTCTTCTGGCTTAAGGCTCCGCGGCCACAGTCCTCATCCTCAACGACATACGTCCAGCACCATGAAGGGCTTCCTCTTCGCTGGTATCATCGTCATGCTCACGGTTGCAGCTGTAGGTGAGGGAAACCACATGGCCCCCTTTTGGAACGAAGACCCCTCTTTCCACCTCACCACGGTCTTCTCACTCTTGGTGCCCTGGGATCCCCTCATGTGACCTCTCATGTCAAGGTGTGGGCAGTGGAGGCCATGAGACCTCTCTGTGCACACTGCCCCCTGTGGTACCACTCAGTGCTGTGGGTCAAGGTTGGGTCTTCCCAATGGAGAATGGTGGACAGTGGGGATAAACTTAATGGGGGTGGCTCCATCTCACAGCTTAAAGTTTGGGGGACCCCAGAGGGAAGGGATGCCATCCTGGCTATTCTTTTACCCTGAGGTGAGTGCAGTGCTTTGGCCAGAGCACACTCTGTAAATGTCTCCTGAATGTTGACGATACCGAACATCTTGTCTTCCCAGAATCCTTGAGTTGTGTGCAGTGTAATTCGTTGACAGACCCCTGTGTTTACGGAAATGCCGTTGAGTGTCCCGCAAATGCCAGTATCAGCTGTACCACTTTCTTGACGAACTTTTCTCTAGGTGAGCCTGGGGGATGCTCATCATTCCCATTTCTGGAACTTGCACAGGGCAGGTGCTGGAGGGGTTGGCCAGGAAAGCAAGGCTAAGGCTGGGCTGTGCAAGGAGAGAGGGGGTCATGAAGGCGCCTCTCAGGAGGAGCAGCATGCAGGAGTCAGTAACAGTGGTAGAGCCAAGCAAGCAGACAAGCCCTGTGGCTCCTTGGAATTGCGGCACCTGACTCAGACTTCATGCTAGACCTGTATTAGTGAACGTGAGAAGCAGGGGCAGCTCTTAGCTACATTACAAAGCAGGCAATTTGCTCTAGGTGTTTTCATTTTTCCATTTTCTGCCCCCCTTTCCCTCTTCTCAGTGTTCCTTCCTGTTCCAGATCCAACATATTTTCACTCAGACTTCCTTCTAGGGTGTTCTGCTGGCGTGATTGTTACCTCTCTCTCAGAGCATTTTGACTTATTTTAAACTTTTTATTATGGACATTTCAAACACACACAGAAGCAGGTAGAAGACTATAATGAACTCCCATGTAACCACCATCCTGTGTCAACAATTAACATTTTGCTATTTTTTCCCCATAGTATTTTATTTTTATTTTTAAAATTTTTATTGAAATATAGTTGATTTACAATGTTCTGTTAGTTTCAGGTGTACAGCAAAGTGATTCACACACAGACACACATATATATGAATTCTTTTCCATTTTAGGAAAATGGATTCTTTTCCATTATAGGTTATTACAAGATATTGAGTATGTTCCCTGTGCTATACAGTAGGTTCTTGTTGGTTATTTATTTTATATACAGTAGTGTGTATATTTTAATCCCAAACTCCTAATTTACCCTCTCCCCATAATATTTTAAAGCAACCCTAGATAGCATGTTATTTCCCCTATAAACACTTCACTATTCATCTCTGATAAGAACTTTTTCCCCCTATTTATATAACTACAATACAATTATCACACCTAAGAAAATTAGCTATAATTTAAAAATTTCTTGTAATACCCAGGCCACCTTAAAAATGTTCCAAGTGTTTCAAAGATGTGTTCTAGTAGATGCATTGGAATCTGGATCCAAACAAAATCCTCACATTGCATTTTGCTGTTAGGTCTATTGTGTCTAATTTGTTTAATAATAACTAACATCACTTTCTTTGCTCAATCCCATTGATTTGTTGGAGAAATGGGGCCATTTATCCTGTAGCTGTCTTATATTCTGGCTTTGTTTGATTGCTTCTTTGTAATGTCATTTCACTTGTTCCCCTACTCCTGGTCTTTCCTGTAAACTGCACTCATGCTGTTCAGTACAACTTGCTTCAGTGATGTTAATGTCTATGTCAATGCTGTCCTATGTGGTAGCCACATGTAGCTATTGGTCACTTGAAATATGGTTAGTGTGACTGAGGACTGATTTGTAGGTGACCACATAGAGCTAGGGCTACCATATTGGATAGCTCTGGTCTAGAAGCTTGATTAACTTCAGGTTCAACATCGTGTTGCACATAGACCCATCACATCTACTTGTCTATATTTAGATGCTAAGACTGTTCAGTGGGCTCTGGGTGTGTCAGCCTGAACCACCCACTTCTAAGCTCCCCATCAGCCTTTCACCTGGAATTTAAGCTGCTTCTCTGATAATCTGTTGCTAAACAAAGGAACTACCTCACGGAGAAGGATTTTTCTTTTTGCAGGAAACCCTCTCCAGTGTCCCCCAAACTGCATTGAGCTGAGGGTGTGTTTTCTGCCCTTGCCTAAAGCAGTTGCTCTTCAGGACCTTTGCCCTCCCTGAACGCTCTGTACCCAGGACTGACAGCCTGTGTTTGCCTTTGTGTAGGAGGAAACATCACATGGTATGAGGATAAGGCCTGCTCTGCGGATAATTGCAGCGTGGCTGAGACCTTCACAGTCCATGTATCTGCTCATGAAACCTTCCATTTTGCAAGCCAGTGTTGCCAAGGAAAGGCGTGCAATGACACCAACGACACCATAGGTGGGTGCTGGCCACATCCTTCCTCTGTCCTCCCTGCTCCGTCCCTTCCTGCACTACCTATGGTTCTCACTCTTGGGTGGACATCTTAAGTCTAGGCACTTCAGTGAATATTTGGGTAACATTAACTGCTGACATACAACAACTACTTGAGAAACAAATGAGGAAAACCAGCGCTACTACCATGCTTTCCCCTTTCTCAGTAAAGACAGAAATCACAGCGCTCCGAGATATGTGGGAGGGTACTAGATGCTCATTAGTAGCTTTCAAATTGTGTGGCCTCAGGACCTCTTTCAAGACTCTACCTCTTAAAAATTATTGAGGACTCCAAATAACGTTTGTTTCTGTGGACTATATCTATCAATATTAACTGTATTAAAAATAAGGCTAAGAAATTTTTAAAATATTTATTAGTTCACTAAAAAATAATAAAACTGATTACATGTTACCATTAATAACATTTGTTTTTACATAGAAATAACTATTTTCCAAAACAAAAAATATTTAGTGGGAAGAATAGCATTGCTCCATGTTTTCTCAAAGCTCCTTAATTTCTGGTTTAATAGAATACAGCTGGGTTCTCAGATTTGCTTGTTCTCTTAGTCTGTTGCAATCTCACATGTAGCCTCTGGAAAACTCCATTGTATTTTCATGAGAGAAAGAGAGTAAAAGAAGCAAAGAACATCTTAGTATTATCATGAAAATGATTTTGACCTAGTGGACTCCCTGAAAGGGTCTCAGGGATCCCCAGGAGTCCCTGGACCACCATTTGAGAACTGTTGGCTTAGATCAAAGCCTTCTGTTTTTTTTGCGGTACGCGGGCCTCTCCCTGTTGTGGCCTCTCCCGTTGCGGAGCACAGGCTCCGGACGCGCAGGCTCAGCGGCCATGGCTCGTGGGCCCAGCCGCTCCGCGGCACGTGGGATCCTCCCGGACCGGGGCACGAACCCATGTCCCCTGCATCGGCAGGCGGACTCTCAACCACTGCGCCACCAGGGAAAAAAGCCTTCTTTTTGAAGAGGAGAAAATGTGGCCATAGTCCTAGAGCATGGTTCATTAATAGCAGAGCTGAGTCTCAATGTAATTTTTTTTTTTATCCAAGTCACGTTGTTAAATGATGGCCTGTGTTCGTTTGTTCGGAGCTAGATTTAGTAATAGTCACACACCTGTTGGCTAATGTTCAGAATAGCTGGCTACCGTTGACATTAGCTATAGGTTGGTTTTAGCTCAAAATCTTACCTTTCCCTCCTCATCCCAACACCCTCACTGACCACAGTTCTTGAAGACTGGATGGCCTGTAAGGGCAGGTCTGTGAGGTTGTGTGCTGTAAATATTTTGGTGGGACATGGGATGGGATGACTGGTATTTTTATGGCAGGATCTGAGATTCCTGAGCATGCAGAGAGACCCTGAGAGGTCTCTCTGGCTAGCGTCTTTGTCTGCCTTTCCCCTTCCACCCAAGGCAGTACCGTGATATTTGTGATAACACTGTTCTGAGTTAATGACTCTTACTCTACCCAGATCCCCCACAGGAAGAGGTGTCCAGCAACACAGGGTGCTCTGCATGTTATGGATCTAGTGAAACTTCCTGTAATGAGACAACCCGGAAATGTTATAAAGAAGAAAGATGTGTCAGTCTAATTGCAGAATTTAAGAATGGTATGTCATTTCCTTTTTATGGGACTTGAGTTTAAAACATGTCATGCCTTGGATCATAAATTCTGGATTAACAAAAAAGGCCTGGAGGAGGTTAGTAAGAAGAGGGAATAAGGTCAGGATGCCTTTGAGATAGGGAGGCTGTTAATGTAGCTTTGAGCTGGTTGCTATTTCTGCCACCTCAGTCCAGAGTTCATTCCTCCTGGGCTGTCGGTCTCTTGAACCCTGTTCTCTTATGGCTTGTAATCAAGCCAGGCTCGTTTAAGGGCATCATGTCACTCCTGACATTTATTTCTTTACTAGGGTGAGCTGTTCTGTAGGTATGGGTGGGTCTGACTTTTATTTCCTTTTATATGTATACTTCCCTTCTCTGCATGTCACTGAGAGGTATTGGATTATGACAGCTTGGGTCACCTGGAAGGAAGAGTCAAACGGGGCTTTAATATCCAACTAATTGAAAAAAGGACAACAACAACAACAAAATTTTAAAAAATCTATTTAACATTTTAGCCATGATCTATTCCCCTGCGGTGGTGGTGTACAACCAATACAGCATTTCATACTTAAAAAAAAGTCATTGCAAACTTGAAAATAAACAATACTGATGATTTCTCTCAAAAAAAAACCCAACCAACTGTTCTTTTCTACAAAAGTAATTTGATATTAACCATTATGAGATACAAATTAACCATCATTCAATATAAAACCAATAAATAAAAAAGGCTTTTTTTTTTTTTTTTTTTTCGGTACGTGGGCCTCTCACTGTTGTGGCCTCTCCCGTTGCGGAGCACAGGCTCCGGACGCACAGGGCCAGCGGCCACGGCCCACGGGCCCAGCCGTTCCGCGGCATGTGTGATCTTCCCGGACCAGGGGTCCGGAGCACGAACCCGTGTCCCCTGTATCGGCAGGCGGACTCTCAACCACTGTGCCACCTTTGACTTAATCTGAAAGCCAGACAGATCAAAGCCACCATAAATGTAGGATTTTGTTTTTGTTTTTGCCGAAGCTGTATGACACAGGGAGATCTGCTTGGTGCTTTGTGACCACCTAGAGGGGTGGGATAGGGAGGGTGGGAGGGAAACACAAGAGGGAAGGGATATGGGGATATATGTATATGTATAGCTGATTCACTTTGTTATAAAGCAGAAACTAACACACCATTGTAGAGCAATTATACTCCAATAAAGATGCTAAAAAAAAATACTGTAGCCATGTGCCAGGCAACACATCTTCCTAACACACTCTAATTCAACCTCCAGCACTGATATTTGCTCTAAAGCAGCAACGAATTGCTTTCTTTACTGGGATGTGGAGGCTTCCCCCTCCTTCTCAGAGCATGTATGGAGTCAGTCTTAAACTCAAATTGCAGCCCTGACTCTAACAAGTAGCCAGTCATCTCCTCCAGCCCCTTCCTCCCCTGTGAGCTGCCTCTCCTCCAGGGCTGTTTGACTTGCAGCCTACAGAGCAATACTGACACATAGTAAGTACTCAGTAAAAGGTAGCTGCAATCACAATCACATCTTTGCAAATTCCCTTGTCTTTTCCTAGGACCTGCGCCTTAAAACGGGGTTAAACACATCACAACACAGATTTAGAGTTAAGACACAGGGGTCTCTCTGCATGGTATGTTTTTCCCTCTTCTCAGGGAAAACTCAGGCAGAGAGAACTCAGGTCCAGAGAGGAGTGGGGATGGAAAGCAGAGCCTAGAAGAGGGGAGGCCAGGAGCAGGTCTGAAATGCTGACTCCCTCCTGGATTGAGAGCAGAGGACTACGGAGGGTCTGAGCCTGTCCCTGGATTTCACCACCTGCCAGCTACTCAGGAAAACACTGAAGAGTTCAGTCTCAGGTTCAGCTCTGGCCCTAACCCGTGGGCTCAGGTTCGCATCCACCTCCAGGAGCCTCGGTTTCCTCCAGGACTGATTTGGAAAGAGTATCTAGGCCCTCACCTCCACAGCCACTCTGCCATTACCATTTGGTGTTCTTGATCCTGGGCTCCTTTTTCCAAGCTCCTGTGTCAGGAACAGACCTGTTTCAGCTCTTGCAGGTCATTGAGAAGACTGGGGAGGAAGGGCAAAGGGGCTGTGAAGTCCTTACTGTCTCTTTTGAATTCACAGAGACAAAGCTCGTGCTGAAAGGCTGCTCCAATGTCAGCAACTCCACCTGTGAGTTCCTGGCTCCTGGAAATCGGACGGTTGGAGGAGTCACTTTCCTGAAGTTTAAGTGTGAAAACAGCTCCGATGCCTCCTCAACACCCACTCCCACTCCCCCGAGCTCCACCAGTGACACTGGCTCTAAAGGCTTCTTCACACCCTTGACCCTTGGCAGCCTTCTCCTGCTGAGGTTGCTGCTCTGAGATCTGCACCCTCAAACCCCCCTGTCCCCTGTTTAACTGCTCAGTGAGTAGCAGTAGCAGTCACAGCCTTCCAGGTAATGCCCTGTGATAGCCACATTATTCCTTATTATTAAAGCATTGATTCATTCAATGACCAAATCTGTCCTGATATGTTCTGGGCTGGGCTTCCTTCAAGCCACTGTCCAGCACCACTTCCCAGTTACTTGCCTTTGAAATCTTTGCACCTTTGTGTGTGGGCTCTCAGGACCTCCCTGATCCCTGTCTAATTTGCTTCTGAGAAGCAGACCCTTCCACCTTGCTGGCATCTTTTGCTTACAGCCCTGCACTTCTGGGGATCAACATGCCACTGTCCCCATCCTCACACTCGGGGGGTGGGGGGCAGCCATAATGCCCTGTGTTGACCCCAGCACTGATATTTGGCTCTTCAGCAATTGAACTGGCTGTAGTCTCGGGCCCACAGTGACATTGTCTAGGACACTGTCACCACCAGACCCAAAGTGGGTGCACAGGGGTTGCTGAAAGTTGTCAGATTCCCCTGCCTAACCTCCCAGGCAGGGGCATAATGCTGTCAGTGCCCTGCTGACTAGGTGTCTCTAAGCCTTGTGCAGAATGGAACATGGCTACAGAGGCCCAGCCCCTCCTCTCAGAGAACTACAATCAAAGGCAGAGTCCTCAACTCCACAGCAGATACCCTGGGAGCAAGAAAACCATTCAATCCAATATGCACAGAAGCCCAGTTTTAGTAAATAAGGGGGGCCTTGAGCTGGACTTGGAAGAATGGGGTTTTCTGTAATAAAAACTTTTAAAGGTGTAACCCAGTGTGGGTCCTTATTGTCCAGGCTTGCTGATGATGATTAAGACCAAAGCCACCAGAAAGGCCATCTGATGGTAGCTCATCACCACATTCATTTTCATTTATTTATTTTAGTTTTTTTATTTTGAAATAATTTTAGATTTCTCAAAGAGTTTCAAAAATAGTTCAGAGAGTTCTAGTAGCCCCTCACCCACCTTCCTCTTACATTCACATGTTACATAACCACACTGCAATTACTAAAACCAGGAAGTTAGCGTTGAAAGCATACTGCTAACTAATAGACCTCATTTGACTTTTGCCAGTTTTCACTAATGTCCTTTCTCTGGTCCAGGATCCAATTCTTTGCATTTAGTTGTTATGTCTCCTCAGTCTCCCACACTCTGTGACAGTTCTGGAGTATTTATTTTATTGACCAGTTTTTCAGAAATTTGAGCTTGTCTGAAGTTTTCTTAGGATAAGATTGAGGCTATGTCTTTTTGGCAAGAATCCCACAGAAATGATGTGTCTTGTAGCCTTGCATGAAATGGAACATGGGTACAGAGCCCCAGTGCATCTTATCAGGAGTTACATGATGTTGATATGTCGTATCAACTGGTGATGTTAATCTTGATTGCTTGGTTAAGGTCATATCTGCCAGGTTTCTCCACTATAAAGTTACTGTTTTTCTTCTTTGCAACTAAAAATAAGCTAAGGTGTGCTGCTGTAACAAATAGATCTTAGTTTAAAAAAAAACAAAAACATCAGGGTTTAATACAAGGAAAGTTGATTTCTCAGTTATTTAAACCCATATAGATGTTCCTGACTGGGCAGCTGTCCTGGGCAGCTCCCCTCTGAGAGTGAGGAAGGGGCCAGACTCCTTCTATTCCATGGTTCTCCCATCCTCTGGGATTCTTGGGCTCTTAGTTAATGGTTCTGCATCCAGCTTGCTGACATGCAGAGAATCTAGAGGACCGTGCAGCATGCCCCAGGGGCCAGGCCTCAATTACATGGCCTGGGAGGAAGTAGTTTATCCACATGCACCTTGCAGGATCAAGGTGCCAGGATCAGAGCCAGTATGGCTTGGTGGTAAGGGACATGGCCTCTAGAGCCAGAGGCATAGCTTCAAATTCCAGGCCTGGAACGTTGGGCAACAGATGTCATCTCTCTGTGCCTCAGTTTCCCACTACTACTAGAGAGATAGTGATAATGCCTGATGCCTGCAGTTGTAAGAGCTGCCAACATAGTTCCCCTTGTCAAGGAGTAAATACTCGTCTATGCAGATGACTCCAGTTTGAAAGCAGCTCTCCCCATCCTCTAGGGAGAGGGTGGACTACCAGAAAGAGTGAAGAGTGCAGCCCTGGCCCACTTCCCTCAGACCATGCTGACCTCACCAAAGTTATAGCTGCTTCCGTGTCTCAGGATTCCCTCTCCCTTTTCATCCCCTCCCCAGATCTCTATGGCTGCTGCCACCATGACTGCACAGGCCACAGCACAGCTTGCTTACATCTTCACGTGGCTGCTGACTCCAGGCAGCCGAGGGCACCACCAGAGCTGACCTGTTCTTAGAACCTCCTGGAAGTTCCCCCGCTCAGGCTCGATGAGAAGAAGTGGTACTTTGGGGGAACTGCAAAGAGTCACACAGGAATGGAAATCAGGGCTGAGGACTGGGAAGGCAGCTGGAAGGCGAGCAGGACTAGATCCCAGGAGGTTCCACACATTGGAAAGACTTGGGCTTTAGACCGAGGGCTGAAAAGGGCCACGGCAGAGGTAAGCACAGAAGTAGGAGTAGGATTGGTTTTCCATCCTGGGAGGTTCTCAGACTGTAGGGTGCAGGTAGAAAGACAGCAGAAAGACAGTACAGGGAGGGAGTTTAAATGGAGAAGTAGTAGGGACATGCCCAGGGCAATGCTCTGTCCTGCTGATGTAATTGAGAGTAATTCACACCATTCTATGCACTTCTGTTTGCACTGTTGGCTCCTGCCTCCTCACCCAGAGTAGGGACCAGGGCAGAGCACCACTCCTGCTCAATGTCTACATTCCTTTCCTTGGCTGTCCACACTTAACTCTGGATTCCTGTCTTCTGGGCAGGGTCTAGGACTTCCCACCCAGATAAAGCCCTTTGCTGCCAATTCTTCCTTAGTCCCAGCCTGGGCTCCAGCATAAACCCTGTATCTGAGGAGGTCCACAGAATTCTATACTCACATTGTACAGTTGGACAAATCATGAATCACTGATTTTCACAGCTCTTTACAGTTGGTAAAGCTCTTTTGCCCAGGTTATTTTATTTTTTTTAGAATTAGCTTCATTCATATATTGTATGATTTACATACAATAAAATGTACGTGTACCAACTAATGAGTTTTGACAAATGTGCCCATGTAACCACTCCTCCAGTCAAGATATAGAAGCCCTCTCCCCTCAGACCCCCAAGGTCCCCCACTCTCCTTGGAATCCACTCTACTCCAGCCCCAGGTTCCCACCTGCATCTCCACTGTCCCAACCTGGAAGTGACAGGCAGCTCTTCTGCTCATATTCCATTGAGCTGAGCTGCTATTTGGCACCACCTGGACACAAGGCTATGGGCAACATAGGCTCTGGGGAGGTCAGTTCTTCCCAGCAACAACTCCCCCGCCATGGAAGAGGGAGGTCAGGGGACTGTTTCCACTAGGTTCCAAGCCCTTCCACCCTGTCCTCCTCTCCCCACCCCACTCACTTCCTGGGCCAGGAAGACAGAAGGAGGGTGTGGGGTTCTCTTTTTTGTGGACTGGATATAGCACCTGTCAACTGAAAGAAAATGCACAACCTAAAAGCTGAGAATTATGTTTTATTGGGCAGACTTACTGAGGACTTAAGCCTGGGATACAGCCTGTCAGATCTCTCTGAGGGACTGTTCCAAAGAGATAAGGGATCACCTACAAATTAGCACTTGCCATCTACCTTTACAAGGATCAAATTATGAGCTGCTGCAGCTGCTGACCTTCAACATACCCTGAAAGGAGTTCAGTGTAGAGATCAGGAATGAGGCCCTCTGTACTCTGGAAAAGCTGGCAGAACAAGTCTTCAGAGAGTTAGATATTTTCAAGAGACGATTTTATGAGCCCAATTCTTGTATCTCCTCATAACCAGAAAAGCACTAAAATCCTTCATGGTGACGTCTGCTCCTTGTCACCAGCAGTGACCTTCATGGGACCAGCAGAAAGCTTCTGAAAAAAATATGTGCTTGACTGCATATACTCCCCCTTCACCAAAATCACATATATATTGACCTTCCCCCCACCTCTTGGGAGCAGCTCCTCAGAGCTATCTGAAATGCTGTCTCCTGGGCTATAGTCCTCATTTCGGGCCCAGTAAAACTTAACTCACAACTCTCACGTTGTGCATTTTTTTCAGTCGACAGGGAAGAGCCAAGATATATTGGAGTTTTTGCTGAAATAAAACTGTGTAGTGGGACATCAAAAGATTGCTGCTAATCACAAAAAAACAGACATCTCAAGTTAATGATTTTACTGCTTTTCTATGTATGGGAAGATGCAACAGTCTGGGCTCACTGAAATTATCCCTTTGATATGCACCTTAACTATCTAAGGCCAGAATCCTCTTTTTCTCCCTCCTGAATTCCCCTCAGGATACACTATGGCGGGGTGGCGTGGTGGGGATGGGGAGAAGGGTGGGTGCAGTGGCTGATGGCTTTATGGTCACAACATCCTTTGTTAACTGAAGTGGCAGGCAATATTCTTTGTTCACACACCTCTCAGTTGAACTACCAACTGAACTAGATCTTCAAATAATTCTTGATCTGCAATATGAACTGAACCAAAGCTAAAACCACTAATCACTCTGAATCTTTTCAATATCTGTTTTTAACTGGATGAGTGAATATGCCCCAGGGGACTGTGAGAAGAATGCTGGTCTTGATATATTCTGCAGGGGCCTTAAGCATCCAAGTGTGACTGTAGATGTGAGCATGGGAGTGAGGAAGGTTGAGAGAAGGAAGGACCCAAGCAAGATGGGCTGTGGGCTCGGGACATGGTTGCTCTTATGCTGGGGAGACCAGCTACTTGGGTCAAGTAATTCCAGGGATTCTGGTGTCCCCAAAAGTGCTCCCATCAGGGGTGGAGTCAAGATGGTGGCGGGGGAGGATGTGGAGTTCCCATCTCCCCACACCTAGGGCACCTGCTGGACACAGGTGAGGGACCACAACACCCAAGGAGATGGTAGTAACCCCCAAGCAACTGGGTAGGATGAGGGGGGAGGTAGGGGAGAGAAGAAGTGGAGGCTGGACAGGACAAGCAAGTGCCCCTGAGGGGTAGCTGAGAGGGGGGAGGCGTTCCCATGCTTGGAGGGACCCTCAGGGGCTTGGAGGATCATGGGGGAGTGCGCCTAGCATCTCCCCCCCCCAGTCAGGCCCCACGAAGCCTGTAGGGCTCCTGGTCCAGGTCCTCCGCCCTCAGAGGCCCCTTCCAGGACGAAATGGTCCTAGGGGCATAGGAGGGAGGCGGGGGAAGAAGAGGAGAGGTGGGTGGGGATGGCTCTCTGGGATTGGAGGATCAGGGGAGGTGCAGAGGGTGTTTCCCCAACCCACTCCGGCCCCAGGAAGCCTGCTGTGCTCCTGGGCCTGGTCCTCTGTCGTCTGAGGCCCCCTCAGCTGTGGGGATCCTAAGGGTGTAGGAGAGAGGGAAGAGTGGGGAAGAGGAGGAGAGGTGGGCAGCAGGGACCATGTGGGGTCAGGGGATCAGGGGAGGTGCCTTGGGCATTTCCCCCACCCACTTGGCCCTGGGAAGCCTGCTGGGCTCCTGGACCCAATCCTCTCCCCTCCAAGGCCAGAGGCACACCTGGTTCTCTCTGGCTGCATTGAGCTTAAGCCCCACCCCCCACCCCCTCAGGGCATTTTCTGGCCCTGTGGGTCCTAAGCATAGGCCCCATCCACCACCTAAACCCTACCCCTACTTAAGCCCCGCCTCCCCACCCCCCACAGCCAAGGCCTTTTTTCCTGCTTTTTTTTTCTTTTTCTTTTCTTTTTT